ATGGGTGTAGTGACCAGGCTTGATTCCAGGCCTAATTTAGGGGGTTCTTTCCTGCTCTGTAGCCTCAGAGGAGGCAGAAGCTCCCTAGGAATCCAGGTCCTAAAAGACAGGAGGTGTCTGTCCTCCACTCCTGTCTACAGCACATCTGGATCTATCTCCTGGTGCAAAGCTTGTGTGCCTAAAGCCAAACCCTGCTTTGTACAAAGGCAGAACAGGCAAGGGAGAGGTTTGGGCAAGGGCACACAGTTTGGCATAGGTAAGCTGAAGACAAATTGAAGGGGTTCCTGGTCTGGGAGGGGTGTTTAAGCTTAGAGTTTGGACAAGATCCCACTTGATGCTAGGAAAGCCCAGAGGGCAGGTTGGTGGTGGGAACCAGGGAGAGTAATGGGTAGCCTCAAACTTCTGTCTTGGGCCTGTACACCCATCCTCCCCTCAACAAGAGCGAGGAGCAAGGGACGGGAAAGGTGGAAACTCCTTCATTGGGGAAAGGAGCTTTGGCTTAGGCTGTATGGGAGGGTTCCCAGTACGTGCAAAACTGACCAAAGTCCTTTGTTCTGAGACTTACCCGTCTCTGAATCAGGAGAGTGGGTGCCCACAATTGAACTCTCCCAGGAACCCAGAGGAACAGATGCTGGTTTTTGGAGACCCCAAACCTACCTTTGGGCTGGCGTCCCTCATGTGGAGATGGATTGAGGACACACACACACACACACAGACACACCACACCCCCTTATGTCCAGGACTCCAGGGAGGAGAAGCATGCAGCAGGTTCTGTGGGCAAAACTCCCAGTGGGAGGCAGAAGCTAGAGGACTGTTCGGAAGAGCTGGTGGCATCAGTGAAAGGGGTTGGACAATCAAGCTGAACAAAAAGTTTTAAAGGGCAGCCAGGGCCCCTGTGCCACACTCCTAGCCCATAATGGAGGCAGCCACAAGAAAGACAAGCTGGGAGAGAGGCAAGAGAAGGTGGGCGAGAAAAGGGGCTTCTGGAAGCACACATATGCAGGGTGCGTTGCGCAGGGCTCTGGGATCCTAATGACAACCCTGTATGGAGAGGTGGTTCTCTTTGGTGCAGAACCTCAGGACCGGAAGGCTGGGTTACTGGCTTTCACTATATGGCTTTCTTTGTCTCAGTCCTTCAGAACTGCCACTATCTAGGGCTTCTTGTCTTGTGAAGCAGCCAGAAGGGCCCTCATAGATCAAGTTGACCGATCTCAAAGGGGAGACTGCAGGTCACATTGAGCTCACACATGATTTTGTTTGGTCCACACACTATTTTTAATTGTGGTAAAATACACACAAACTTTACCATCTTAACCATTTTTTTATAAGAGAATATTTGGTAAATCAGAGAGGTAGAAAAAGTCCTAGAAGAAATGGACTTAGGAAACAAGTTATAGAGGCAAAGGAAGGGCGCTTGGTGCTTGAGAGTGAGGAAGCTCTTAACCATTTTTAAGTGTACAATTCAGTAGTATTAAGTGTATTCACATTGTTGTGTAACCAATCTCCAAGACTTTTTCTTTTTAATTTTTATTTATTGATTTTAGAGAGGAAGGGGAGAGAGAGAGAAACATCAATTTGTTGTTCCACTTATTTTATGCATTCATTGGTTGATTCACGTATGTATCCTGACTGGGGATCGAACCCACAACCTCAGCGTATTGGGACAGTGCTCTAACCAACTGAGCTATCCAGGCCAGGACTTCCAGAACTTTTTCATCTTGCAAAACTGAAACTTTACCCATTAAACAGCAACTCCCTCTTTCTCCCTCTCTCCAGCCCTGGCAACCACCATTCGACTTTCTATCTTTATGAATCAATATTTCATATAAAATAGAATCATACAGTATTTGTCTTTTTGTGTCTGGCTTATTTACAGTAGGTAAATAGTGTGTCCTGGGCTCCCCAGCTCCATACAGGAGCTCAGTGTGGTGTCAGGGCAGAAAATAAGCCTCAGCACCCACACCAGTAAGATGAGTTTTGAACACCTCACTGGGGGTGTCATGAGGCTAAGATGAGGCCTGTACTGCCTTCTTCAAAGTGTCTGGCACACACTGAGTGTTCACGTGGGGCTGATTACTGCCATCCATCCTTCAACTTAGGGTACATGTCAGAGATGTGGGATCCACCCACTGAGGTGCAGCTCAGTTGAAGGGCCTAAGTGAGCAAGCTGCAAAGACAGGAAAGGAGGGGCCTGTGGGTAGAGACTGGGACACTGACAAGTGGTTTCTGGGGAAGGGCAATTTGAAGGGTTAACAAGGTCCAGGAAGTGATCATGGGAGGG